TTCTGACCAATCAAATGCTCTCTAGAATCCGAAGCACCCGCCCCCTACACTATAAATAGACGCTGAAGCTGCGGCTGAAATCACTTGTTCACAGTGTAGTAATTCCTGTACAGTGAATGGCACGTAGTGCACAATGTAGGCGATAGAGAACGATTTCCAGCAGTGTAAATATGGTTTTGATTGGGGCAAATGAGGTCTGATTTCGCGTTGTGTCACGCGAACCGTGGCAGCGCGCACAGTCTGCTCTGGACTTTGGCTCCGGTCTGTGATTTCACCAAGTACAACATGTTCCTGGATCAACATACTTGTTGATCCTGGAACAGCATTCCAATTAACCAATCAGAATTGAGGGATAACTTTTCAGGAAATGTCAGTTTTAGGCTTACAATCAGGATTAGGTGCTTCTACACCCTTGTTAATCAGCTATCATTTCACACTGACTTTAGGAATAAATTATGGGTAGGGATTGGGTTTAGTCTATATTTTTTGGACAGTAATGGTGATCCAGGATCAACAAAAGATCTTGATCCAGGAACATGTCTTACTTGGCAAAATCACAGCAACCATCGCACGGAGTGAATCATGCGCGAGTTTAATATATGCATATTAAACACTTTTAAAACTACACAGCCTCAGCATGATTATGATCACTATTTTGTTTTTGTAAGAGTTTCATATTGAATCTAGGGGGTAATCTATTAGACTGTGGCTGTCAAATGTGGCTTTACCGAGGTCAACGGCTCTGGCCCAAGCAGATATAAACAAAACGCTATTGGCTATTTTTAAAAGGGGGCGTGGCTGCTCGATATGTCCCGTCCTGCTGTCTTCCTGTTTCAGTTGAAATTAAGTCACCACATAGAATAACGCTGCATGTTTCAAGGCACTTCAGGGAGCCTTTAAAGGGATAGCTCACCCAAAAAATTTAAATTACCCCAATTTACTCACCCTCAAGCCTTAGGTGTATATGACTTTCTTCTTTCAGACAAATACAATTGGAGTTATATTAAAAAATGTCCTGGCTTTTCTAAGATTTCCAATCGCAGTGAATGGGGTTTAAGATTTTAAAGTCCAAAAATCTGTATCCATACATCATAAAAAGTATTTCACACGGCTCCGGGGGAATAATAAAGGCTTTCTGAAGTGAACTGATGCATTTGTGTAAGAAAAATATCCTTATTTAACTTTATAAACTGTAATCTCTAGCTTCCGCTAATTGTCGTATGCGCGTTTACAAGAGAGTGGCGGATGATGTAGGATGTAGGTGTAGCCAGTGCCGCATTAAGCCTTTGCGGGGCCCTGGGCTAACGCAGCTTTGAGGGCCCCCCTACCAACCCTTTAGGGGGCTTTAGCCACCCTAAATTTCTACTCAGCCCCCCTAAAAATTTTGCAATTAGCTCCATAAACTGTACACGAATTCTTGATCACCTCAGTTCCCTTTAAATTTCATATGAAAACGGCAGCAGACTTCGGCTCCTCCCCGTCTTTCAGCACGTTCTTCAATCCGCAGACCGCGGCGGCGCAGAGCGAGAAACAGAGGACAAGATGTGTGTTTATCGATAGATTGTTATAATATCTGTATCTGTGCAGTTCTTTGTCATAAATACAGTTTACAAAATGTCACGGGGGAGCAATTGGTTTTCCATCTACTGTAAAGTTTTCGCTGCGTTCACCCCTTATCACACCACAGCTGTTTCCTCCAGCGAAAATCTAGCCCTTAACACATATGAACACGTACTTTATAGAACTATCATGTTGCTATTTTCATTTGAAAATGTAACTTTCAATATTAAACATATTACAGTGCATGTTGCATTAACCTTACAATAATGCACAGAACTGATTAAAGGCAGTGACAGTACAGTATTTGAGCGTATGCTTGAGCTAAAGAAAGAGCTTTGTAGAAATTAAAACAGTATAATTTTGTGTTTGCAGAGTAAACCGGTGTGTGTGTGTGTGTGTGTGTGTGTGTGTGTGAGAGAGATTAGGAAGACTTGTATTTGGCTTATTCATTACTCAAATGCTATTATACCCATCTATGCAATACAGTGGAATACTGCAATAAGTTTAGTATACCACCCTACTCAATTCGTCAAACATTTTTAAAATTGTATTTATTCATTTATTTATTTTTATTTTTTATTATTATACTCTCATTGGGGGCTAAGCCCCCCTAAAATGAAAATCCTAGAATCACCCCTGATGCGCACGTCATAATCCCATAGGAGGCAAAAAAATTAACAATATTATCCAGTAATAATCTTACAAATCAGCCCAGCAAATAAAATTAAATATCACTCACAACTGAAAGGGCTTCTTCCTGCTCTTCTTATAATGCGCTAGAAGTTATAGACATTTAAAAAATTTATAATTTTGTTTCTCTATTTAACTTACAATAGTGAAAGACATCTTCCCTCAGGTATTTGTATTTATTAAGCACCAATAAACACAACAGCAGTTGACCATAGTGCTGTACATATAAAATAAAAAAACAGTAAAAAGAATAACAGTAAAAGATAATTTAACATACAAAGTTTAAAAAGCCAAAAGATTTCAAAGATTTCAGTTTGTGGCCCTGAACATTTTCAGAAATGGAGCCATTGCAAAAACACCTTGTGGTAGCCATGGCAACCATTTTACTTTCCGCCATAACCAAATGATCTATGTTGTGTCATATCTCCTGAACCAAACGTGATAACACAGAAAAGGTGATGTCTACCCCTATGTTTTGGCGGTCAAGGATTACAAAGATACCACATACAACAACATAAACTGTTCAGGTGAACAGTTAATGGTGAAATCAGCAATGTTAGAAGGAAATCACTTATACAGTGGTCCATATTATGGCTATTAATTTTTTCTTTCTTTGATAATTAACTAATATCTTATTCAATAATGCAATAAAAGATTGTTTTCAAGAATACAATCATATGTTTCAGAGATATATATTTTAAAAAGTCAGTGAAATCAGTAAAAAATATTATCATATTTAGGTAAGAAATACGTTATTTGTCACTCCTACACCCAAAAAAAATCTCTGACAACAGTCTATGTGACTAATTCAAAAGTTTATACTCAGTTTCTTTGCTTATATTATGTTACATTTATGTTTCTGCTGCACTGTTTTATACAACTAAATTTTACTCCCAAATGTAATTAAGCTTAAAGGTCAGACAGATCGTTTTGCAGCACCCTTGAAGGGCCTTTTCCAAACAAAGGCAGTATTGTTGCAGGATGGCTGTCTTTTTTTTTCATTGAACTCTCCCAATAGCTCTACACGCGGGACAGTCTTCCTGTGTAGCAGATTTCCACTTTCCTGAATACAGCAGATAAAACAACATGCACTAAACTATTAGTCATGAAGATCTTTTTCTGTCCGCATAGGAGCAGTTAACAGCCTGTAATGTTTTAGCCTTAATGTTTTAGTATAATTGTAACACATTAGAAATACAGAATTTCTGTATATAGCGAATATGCAGATGGGAGGCTGATATGCTCTTTATACAGCATAAAAAGTGCTTTGCATGCATAGAAAATGACAGTATTTGCCTCTGTTGTACAAACGTAACTGGCATGCAGATAAGCGATAGTAATAACCAATTATCATTTAACCCCAGTTGCACACAGACTTTGCTCATTAAAACCAATCACAGGGGCAAAATATGATGGCTAATCTATCAGGCCTCAGTTCCATGCGTCAGACATTTGACGAGTAGGGAGTGAGACTGTGTTGGTTCATAAGGGCAAGAGCTGTTCCTATCACAGACATCGTTAAAATGCACAGCTCACAGTGACGGAGCATTAAGAGCAATATAATAACCTCAAAAGTATCCGATAGACAATTCTCTGTGTTGTATCACCGGGAAAAGTCCATTTACTGAGGAATTACTAGTTTTATGGTCATGTAAGGGGTTACTGTTTATTAGCATGGTTCAATATTTAATATTTGGGTTCCTGGACCGACTTTGATGTTACTCACTAGGACATTGTTAAATTAGCTATTATCAGGCGCAAGTGTATTTTAATGCACTTGACAACCTGTCAAAGAAGGGAAATATTGAATGTTTCACTCGTACTTTGTTGGCTGTATTCTGGCCTCTTGTGGCCTGACCATGACATGAATTATATTTTTCTCTCTCTCTTTTAAAGGGATAGTTCAAGGGATGGCTTTTAAAAATTGTAAACAGTTTTTAATAGTTCGCATAAAGAAAGAAAGAAAGAAAGAAAGAAAGAAAGAAAAATATTTTATAGTGAAATGCCATTAAAGACTTTCCCCCAAAAATTAATTCTGCCATTATTTACTAAAGAATACTTTTCTTTCCCTAAAAGCAAATGGTGACCAGGGAATGTCTAGCTCCAAAAAAAGCAGTGTAAATTTAACAAAACATTGCACATAATATTCATTTAGAGAGAACTAATCCTTTAGACAGACAGACAGGTAGACAGACAGACAGACAGATACTGGATGGATGGAGAGACAGACAGACAGACAGTGTATAGATAGTCAGACAGAAAGATTGATAGATGACAAACAGATAGTAGATACACAGGTAGACAGACAGGCAGGTACTGTTGAGAGAGATATGGAGACAGACAGATGGATAGTGCATCATATCCTGTAAACATGACTCTGTTCATTCATGAAGTATATGTCTGCACTGAAGATCACTGAGAAATGCTTTACAAACACACCCACTCTCCCAGCATGTTTGTGCCTGTCATCTTCACTGCAGTCGCTCTCTAGTCCTGCTTAGTTGAGTCTTACCAGAGTCAGTGGAGAGGAGCAGCATTCAGCAGCTTATACTGCAGACCTGCACAATGAGAGACAACAGCTGTAAAGAAAGCATAGACAAAATCCTGCAAGAGGCTCCGACCGCAAGAAAAGCTCTTCTGGACAACCACAGCAATCTGCACAAGGTGGCCGATTACTGTCAGAGCAAATACCTCAATGTGAGCCATTTTTAGTTTTTCTATACATTTAATTTGCAGTAATATGTTTAATTTTTTTTTTCACTCCAAATTTTTATTTTATAGATCTTCCTGGATATTGTGTGTTCTTTAAGTTTACATTATGCCTAAACATATATAGTATGTAGGTACTGATAAAAAAAAATAGTACAACATTGTAAGTAGTCTAGTGATGACATACTTGCTTCTTTTAACTATTTGAACTGGATTTAATAACTGAATTTTATTACATTTGCAAAAGTCATACATGCATCACACTAAAAGTGAAATTCATTTCACAGCTCCATTTATATTATGAGTTATTCACATGGATTGTTGAAACACCTTTCTTCAGGCTGTACTCTATTCCAGTCTTTTCAGTCAGCTTTGTGCTGTCTGTACTGACGGCTTACATGCCTAAACAAGACTGTGGTATGTATTCCTAGAACTCCATGAAAACCTTTCTTAACATGTTTATCTAGGAATCCATCTCTGTATCCTGGAGGTCTGTTATACTGAATGCAGCATGTTTGTATATCCATATAATATCATCTGTAGGTCTTTATCATTAATGATCATATTCAGTAGTATATTCAGCATTATATTTATACACTATCATTTAAAAGTGAAAGGGTTAATCTTTTTTTAAGACAGTAATACTGTGGTATGTATTCCTAGAACTCCATGAAAACCTTTCTTAACATGTTTATCTAGGAATCCATCTCTGTATCCTGGAGGTCTGTTATACTGAATGCAGCATGTTTGTATATCCATATAATATCATCTGTAGGTCTTTATCATTAATTATAATATTCAGTAGTATATTCAGCATTATATTTATACACTATCATTTAAAAGTTAAAGGGTTAATCTTTTTTTAAGACAGTAATACTCAGCAACTCACTGTCATAAGTGACAGTACAGACATTTATAATGTTACATAAAAATTCTATTACACATAAATGCTGTTCTTTTGAACTTTCTATTTATCACAGAATCCTAAAACTGTTTCTACAAGAATATTAAAGAGCATAACTGTTTTCAATAATAATAATAAAATGTTTATTGAGCACAAATCAGCATATTTAATTACTCACCCTCATGTCGTTCCAAACCCGCAAGACCTTCATCCATCTTCGAAACACAAATTAAAATATTTCTGATGAAATCCGAGAGCTCTCTGACCCTCCATAGACAGCAAGAGTCCTAACACAATCAAGGTCCAGAAACGTAGCAAGGACATCGGTCAAATAGTATAAAAATGATTAGAACTTGATTAGATCAAGTTCACAGGCCAGGACTGTGGATACCAGAGTTCTTTCAGTCTGTTGTTATTCATAAAAGCCTTTATAGAAGAGTTTGAATATTGAAAATTATAATTTTTTTTTACTTTAGGTGGAGGACACGAGAAGTGTCATTGAAGAGTCCAAAGCTCTCACCACGCAGGCCCTGGCCAGTGTCACATACCAGATAAACAATCTGGCCACATCTGTGCTGAAAATCTTAGATGCTCAGACGGTTCAGCTAAATCAGATTGAGTCCTCCGTCAACTTGCTGACTCTGGTGAGCTCCGCTTATCACTTAACGGAAAGCACCAGAATCTCTTGAAATACAATGCCAGTCATTACTAATGGCAAGTCAGGACAGTGCTGGAAATATTAAATAATAATTTGTGCTTCTGAATAAAAGAATAGATCACCCAAAAAGGAATATTTGCTGAACATGCCATCCAAGATGAAGATGAGTTTGTTTCTTCATCAGAATAAATTTGGAGAAATTTAGCATTACATCACTTGCTCATCAATGGATCCTCTGCAGTGAATGGGTGCCGTCAGAATGAGAGTCCAAACAGCTGATAAAAACATCACAATAATCAACAAGTAATCCACACCACTCCAGTCCAGCAATTAACATCATGTAAAGCAAAAAGCTGTGTGTTTGTCATAAACAAATCCATCAATAAGATATTTTTACCTTCAAACCTTTGCTCCATTGCTTTAGTCTTCTATCCATAATATTGCTTTTTTCAGTTAACGGAATACATGTAACAGCATTACGTAATCAGGTTACGTAATCTAGTAACTAATCAGTTACAGTTACATCAAAAAAAAAGTAATAGGATTAAAGTTACATTTTGTAAAAAGTGGGAATACTAGCATGATTACATTTCTTTAATTTAAAATGAAATAAATTAGTTTTTTGACATAATGCTGTATTTCGAGCTGCTTCATCATAGTTCCTGGTTCTGTTGACACACGTTGACTCACGTGAGCAATCTGCTGGTGCGTGCGCAAATAACACCCATCTACAATTATTCTCCTCGAACGCGAGATGAGACGCTGCTACAGTTAATTAATTACGATGCTTCATGTTCAACAATATTTATTATGTCTATGGGCACAACAATGAGCATGTTACTGTTTACACGGTCGTCAAGGATACGCAAAGCGAATGTGGGCAGCCAAGCCATCGTTTTCAAAAGTCTCCATTTTGGTACATTAACGCAACCCCGGAGTTAAAACGGGGTCTGCAGCGTTTTCAAAAGTATCCGTTTCCGACCTCGAAAACGCCAGAGTAGTGTAAACGACAGGCGTAACCGTAGCAAAAGTTATGCATTTTAAAACAAAAACGCACTGTTGTAAATGGGGCATAATTGATGGACTGGAGTATTTGTGGATTATTGTGATGTTTTTATCAGCTGTTTGGACTCTCATTCTGACGGCACCCATTCACTGCAGAGGATCCACTGGTGAGCAAGTGATGTAATGCTACATTTGTTACATTTTTAGCAAATTTTCATTTTTTGTAAACTATTCCTTTAATAGACATTATAATTTTGTCAAAATAACCTCCTAATGTCAGTGTTCACATTCAGACAGTTGGCATGTACAAGGAGAAACTAGCCCGGAAAGAGATCGGCGTGCTGACCAAACAGTCAAAAGTTCCCCGGACTCAGAAGGTGGTTCCCCCAGTGAGTGGCCTGGAGCCGTCGCGTGCATACAGGCGGGTTCCCATATCCTACACCCGCTTGGACAAACTGGGCCACAGCCACTGGGAAGGCAGCAAAACTGTGAGCAAATATATCTGCAAATACATAATACTTTTTATTTACACTGCTGTTTTTTCACTTGTTGTGGTTAAATTAAAAGTAAATTAGATACAGTATATTTTATAAATAATATTAAACAATATGTGATCTAATGTTTGCATTAGCCCTAAAAATGCATAGCATTTTGTATTTTATATAATATTGTATTATATATTATATACAACCATTCAAACATTTGGGATCAGTAAGTTTTGTAAAAGAGTTATTTTAAATTGTTAGAAAATATTACAGAAAACATACCTATCCCAAACATTTGAAATGAAATATATAGTATTTACTGGTATAAAAAGTATTTATGAATACATATAATGAAAAAGTATTTTAAGTATAATATATATCTCACACTAAGAAATTTATTTTTATAACATGTGAATTGTGTACTTGCATGTACTTATTCCATTTTAAAGAATCATAAATTTATCACAAGGAAAATAAGTTCAAACAAATCTAGCTGCCAATGTCCTTTTTACTGTTTTTCATAAGTAGTTATAAGTTTACTCATATTTATAAGATAAGAGCTTAACTTACTAATTTAAATGATTTGCACCATACAGTATTTTCAGCCTAAAACCCCTACTGATTTCATATATTTATTTGAATTTATTATGTTGTGGCACTGAAGGAAGAGCCAAAAACAGACAATGAGGACTCTGTGTCTGTACAGCTTGGCACACAGGAGACCAGCACCTTCAACTGGTTTGTAATAAAAAGGCTTTTGCTGTTTATATTCAGATAGATTTAGTTCAAAATGTTTTTGATTAACCCACTTGTTGTTGCTGTGCTTTCAGGTCTTTTTTGGGAATCGCAGTTCCTCCTCCATCAGTGCCTGACTGGGTGGGTTCTAGCGCCTCTGCTCCACCTGACCTCTCTCCAGCCTCACCGCCTCCTTCACTCATGTCTGACCGTTCCCCGTCTCTACCAGCCTATCCCGACCTGTCCATGCTGCCTCCTCCATCTCTCCCAGATGATGAGATGGGAGACGCTCCACCCCCACCACCTCCTCCCTCTCCTCCTCCACCTAGTTCTGTGTATGGAGGTTCTTTGGTTCCCCCTCCACCACCTCCACCTGGCCAAAATACCTCATTAACTTCAGCAAACCCTCCACCTCCTGCTGGTAACATGGCTATTCCACCTCCTCCTCCACCTCCTCCAGGCAATGTCACTGTCCCACCTCCTCCACCTCACATTCAGGGCAAGATGGCTGCTCCTCCTCCACCTCCTCCTCCTCCTGGCTCTTACAGTGGGTCATCACTACCCCCACCTCCTCCTCCTCCTCCTCCTGGCTCTTACAGTGGGTCATCACTACCTCCACCCCCACCTCCACAAAATGCCTCCATGGTGCCACCGCCACCTCCTCCTAATACTGGAGGAAAATTTATTCCACCACCTCCTCCTCCACCTCCCCCATTTTGAATGTTGATTTTGAATGTTATTTTTTATGGAAAAGACTATATGACATTTGATGAGATAAGATTTTTTAATGCTTTTTATTAAATAATATGAAAATGTTCTTATAAATGTTTATGGTATGAAACATTAAATAAAGACGATAATGTTTTGTATAAAGCGTATTACGTAATATTCTTTTTATGATGTACTCACATAAATTGAAGGAACATATTTAAATGCTTTATTGTGTGGTTAAAAATTCCAAATATATATATATATTTAATGGATTGTTACTTCGTTTTCAAAGCTGTCGAGCATTTAAAGCTGCAGTCCTTAACTTTTGGCGCTCTAGCGGTTAATAAACAGAACTGCGTGCGTCTTGCGGAAGAACATTGTAGCCGGAGCTACTTCTCTCTGTTTATGTCTATGGCGAATCACGCAGGTACTGGGCTACTCCGCAGCGGTACCTAACCGAATCAGTCTAAATAGTCCGAATATAAACACTTATTATAGGTGTACCGTAGTGACTCAGGACAAGCCAAAAACGCGGTTTGGAAAATGGATTCATGGTGTACTCGCTTATTGTAGAAATTTTGTACATTTTGAACACAAAGAAACCGCATAAACACATTTCATTACACCAAATACACAAAATAATGTTCTTTTTAGCAGCATCATATGACCCCTTTAACTTTTAAGCGAAACAAAACAAGTACTGCACTGCAGATGGCAGCACCGACTTCTTATATTTTGTCAGTGTTTTTGAAACAAGTGAATTCGGTGTTCAGTGCAGGACCAGGTAGGGCATTAAATTCGCGTCGATAGCATTAATAATGGTGGAAATTTTGAACGTATATCATTTTAGTATAGGCTTTCCGTGTTCTATATTTGTGCTACACACGAGGAGTTCACTGATATCTATAGTATAGTTCTATTATTGCGTAACTTGAGACCTATGCTGTGTCTCCAACCAAGCGAGCTGCCTTCCTAGACATTATTTTTGGGAATCATACTCACACTTCATAGTGATATTCGTTCCTCTAGGGGCGCATGGCAGCTCAGACAACCAAAAACACAAATTAGTTGTATTAAAATCTCTGAACGTTGTTTGTGTTGCTACATATGTTTATGCGCTTAAATGCGTAATTTATTAAATCTATGTTTAAATGCATTAATTACTTGATAGAAATTGACATTCGTTTACATACTCTTAATACAAATATTCAATCAAACGCTTTAGCCAAAGACTGTAATCACAAACACAGTCATTGGTCAGTCTTGACCAACGCTGAGAAAAGTAACACTTACCATGTGACAACGCCGTTTCCTTCAGCAACAATATGGACATCTATTTTAGATCTGAATAATAACACAATGACATTTTAACTGGCATTGTTTAAACGTTATATACACAAATACACTGTTAAACTAGCAGAATATAGTGCAACAGTCAGGTTTCGAATGTTAAAATTCCATTCGTTTTCGCCATAGGGTAATTATTCAATATTTAGTTTTAAATAATCGTGCTTATGAGCGAAAACTACATTACCAATGATTCTGCAAAAAACTCCACCAATCAAAGAATGGAAACAAATTACACCAGCCGTTTTCCCAAATTTTTTTTTTTTTTGCTTCAAATCAAAGTTTATAAGTTTGTGATTCACGTCGTAGTTGGTTTATTTTCTTTTTTTATTTAGTCATTTAGCAGACGCTTTTATCCAAAGCGACTTACAAACGAGGACAACAGAAGCAATCAATTGTAGTAATAAAACAACTAAAAACAGATCCAAAACTAAAAGCTACAACTTTATAAATACTACTTATACACATTTTAAAAATAAAGAAATTAAATGAAAATGACAAATGCATACAACAAAATTTCAAAATTTAACATTTAAATGAAAAACAAAAAATAAAGCTAAAAACAATTCAAAACATTAAAAACATAACTAGTACAAGAGTATAATAACATAACACTAAGCCAAACACCAAAAAAACAACTACATATATGTGTATGTACAACCTTACACACATACATATATTATACATTTTATGGCTTATAATTCTTTAATTAAAGCTTGAAAATCCTTATGTTTAAAAATAATTCTAAAAAAAAAAGCCCCGCCCATTCCAAAACCCTCGTTCAGGCGAAATCGATCATCTATCCGTTGTTTTCATTTCTGTGGTTTTGAGACACAGCTGGACTGACAGCTCTGTATAGGAACAGCCAAAGACACTCGAGCCGAATCATTTCTTCTCTTCAATGGCTCTTATTGAAAGGCTTTAACTGTGGAGAGCTGCTCCTTATTCCGGCCTTCATGTCAAGCCTTTGGGATAGTGTGCGTTCCGCATTTCCCACTGTCCGCCCATAGCTTGTCCATGTCGGTCCGGCGCTTCTCGGGGGTCATGGAGAGCTCCTGGTCCGCCGAGCCCAGGGAGCTGTTCGAGGCCTGCAGGAGCGAAGACCTGGAGCGGGTGAAGAAGCTCGTGTGCCCGGTGAATGTGAACAGCAGGGACACCGCAGGGAGGAAATCCACCCCGCTGCACTTCGCTGCGGGTGAGTCCCACTCTCCTTCCTATTCCGTTCTATTCGTTTTGTTTTCTAAACCAAGATTCTAATTTATTCAAACATTTTCTTACATTCTATTTTTCTATTATTTTCTATTCTGTCCTTTGAATGGATGTTATCTATATCAACATCAGTATCACTGGCATTGTATAATTTATCCCAAATACAGTTGTATTTGCATATCATTAATAATTAATCAGTTACAAAAGACAAAAGCTTAGGTTAATTGTGATCGTATATAGGGTTTTTGAGATGAATTAATGGCTAGTGTAATTTTATTACTGTAAATATATAATTAAGGAGGCTGCTGGGAACACCATGTGCTTCTATGCGTATGTAATAGCTTTCTGGTACACTTGAAATCACATATTTATGTGAAATGCGGCATAGACACCAAACTAAAAAAACTAATATGGTTTATATATAGTTTACAAATAACTTTTTAGCTTAAGTATTGTGAAATCTTGCAGAGGCTTAAATTAATGCATATTTAATTTACTAATTTTGCAAATTAATTAATAAAATAAAAATACAATTATTCATTTTAAAATAATTATTCAAAATACAATTCATAATATTTTATCAAATTAATTAATACAATTATTATTTAAAAAATAAAATAATAAATTGGACAACGATTCTCTATTATAAAAAAGGATGGACATGTTATGTTTCCAGTAACATTATAATGTGAACATGAAAAATGGACTATTGATTATAAAAAGTGTTGAGACACCTGTCATGAAAATAAGTCTTGCATCCCATAATGATAATAACTGTAATATTAATTACTCCAATTACGACTATGTTGTTTTCATTGACAAATAATTGTTTATTGGTGTTTTATTGATATTTTTTGATTGATATTGAAGAAGTTCTCTAAAAATCCCAGTATCACAGTGTAATGTTGAACTTGTGCCTAATGAAAGCAGTCCATCTATTAAGCCCACGGCTGTGTAGTGGTCAACCGATATTGTTTTTTTGACAGCGATGCCGATATCTTGGAAAGCAGGGTGGCCGATATAAAGCCGATATAATTTTATTTATTTTAATTAATATTTAACAAATTTGAAATCATTTGAAAATTGATTAAAAAATAATTTGAAATGACATGAATATGACAGTGGGCAAATGCATAAAGCGCAGCATAATTTGAAATCAGGAATTTAATGTTTAAAGCATTCAATTGACACGGACCAAAAGTCACGCAGAAAACACGCAATCATGCAGGTCACATGCACACTTCACAAGATCTCACAACTGGATTCGACTAAGTTTGCAAGGTTTGTGAAATAACATTTGCATTAGCCATTCAAAGATTTGTTTAAATGATGTAAATGCGTATTTACTAAATGCTGACGGCAAACGAGAAAGTATTATAATGTTTGCTAATAATATAAAAGCAATCGTTATAATACTTTTTGTATACATTTTATACATTTAGTTTAACAGATCTATCGGATTATTTAGACAGAACTATTAACGACGACGGCGAACAAGAGGGAGAATGTGAGCACTGTGTGTTCAGGAGCTGCCGTTCGGAGCGCCATCAAAATAAAAGTCCGGCGCGCCGTCAAAATAAACCTCGACCGCATCGGCCAAACAGAAAAACTTATCGGCCGATGCCGATATTTAAAAAATGCCAAATATCAGCCGATATATCGGCCTTGGCGATATATCGGTCGACCACTATGTGTGATGGGCGGCCCACTCTTCTGTGGCAGGTTTTGGCCGTAGAGATGTGGTGGACTACCTCCTTCAGCACGGAGCAAACGTGCACGCTCGTGATGATGGTGGCCTCATCTCACTCCACAACGCCTGCTCGTTTGGTCACGCTGAAGTCGTCAACCTGCTCCTGCAACACGGGGCCGATGCCAACTCCAGAGACAACTGGAATTACACCCCGCTGCACGAGGCTACCATCAAGGGCAAGATCGACGTCTGCATTGGTAAAGCCTCCTAGTGATAAAAGTTTACAGAATACATTCAACTTGTTTTGATGAAAAAAATCTCATTTGCATGTTGAATGTATAATGCAGCTGTTTAAATCATGTTTGTCATTTGTAGTTTTGCTGCAACATGGTGCTGAGCCAACGATCCGAAACACTGATGGAAGGACAGCGCTTGACCTGGCTGAGCCCTCCACCAAAGCTGTACTGACCGGTGAGTGAGCTCTCAAACCTCAGACTTGGGTACACACTTGCTTTTCTGGTAGAGTTGGGAATCAGGATCCAGTTCTTATCCAGAACTAGTCTGCGGTCCAATTGAAGATAAAGAAAGAGAAGACTGTTGTGAAATGATAGAAGGACAGTAAATGAACAAAAATGTGCTTCAATTTCATCATGAGTTGCACACACATGCAGTGTGGACAGTGTGGTGCGATTCATGAAGAAATGAGTCCTTTGAATGGATTATTTTTAACAAATTGCTCCAAAAGACTCACCAAACCTATTTGTAAGTCTTTTGAACCAACTCGTTAGAAATACTTGACGTGTAAAAAAAAAGTATAGTGTAAAAGTGATCATGTCTGCACACTGTGCACAAAAAATATCCACCGGTTACATCACATTAGAGTAGTGAATAACACATTTCTATGTACAATAAGCATCAGAAATATGATGGAGATCACAAAGTGAGCTGATGCAGGAAAAATATGCGACCCAAGTTGTCCTTAACATGAGAATGTGTCATATTAAGTGCTTCAAACTGAATAGCATATAGTTTAACGCAGCTTGCCAGATGCTATTTCATGCGATTGAGAGGTGTTTTCCTCAGCCTAAAATTTACATTGCATGCCTGTATCCTTATCTGTAAAATTAAAAAAAATCACAAGATCATTTCCAATGTGAATTAGAGCTTGTCCTGACAGCGAGCGACTTCACCGACTTCAGTGATCAAGCACACTACAATACTACATTTTTCTAGAATATTTGTTGTTAGTAATTGATGTGTAAAATGTTAAACTTCGATGCAGTGGTGTTTTTATAGAGCAGTAACAGTAAAGTGACTATTGTGATATAATTACTATGTTCAAATGAGTGAATGTGTGTTCATCCTGCCTTGTACCAGTCAAATTTTAGTCTGTACTTTTGTACTTTTATTATCTTTTTATTTAGCTTTAACTTCTGTCTTAAAAATAGTAAGTAATCAGTTGTTTTGTGCTTTATAATGTTATATTAACCATTTTAACACATAATTTATAGCATAGCCTACATAGATATGTTCAATATATTTTTTCATTACCTTCAAATTCCACATTTTTTGGAGGACAACATTGGGCAGGATGTTGATAAATAATGGATTCAATTAATTAAAATCTTAATTAAAAGGTATATTTTTTATTTAATAATTTTGGGATTATTTGTGACCCTGGAGCACAAAAGCAGTCTTAAGTCGCTGGGGTATATTTGTAGCAATAGCCAAAAATACATTGTATGGGTGAACTTACAGATTTTTCTTTTATGCCAAAAATCATTAGGACATTAAGTAGAGATCATGTTCCATAAAGATATTTTGTAAATGTCCTACTGTAAATATATCAGAACTTAATTTTTGATTAGTAATATGCATTGCTAAGAACTTCATTTGGACAACTTTAAAGGCGATTTTCTCAGTATTTTGATTTTTTTGCACACTCAGATTCCAGATTTTCAAATAGTTGTATCTCGGCCAAATATATAAAATTAATTTTTAAAAAATGACCCTTATGACTGGTTTTGTGGTCCAGGGTCACATTTTCCTCCGATTATTTAAATAATCAAATAAATAATCAGATCAAAATAAAACACTTCTTTTTGAAACACTTGATTTTGATTCCCATAATTCCCATATCCTATGCTCTATTTGTTTATAAGGCTAGTAATTGGCAATTTACTGGTGACTTTGCTTTCATTTAGGCTCAAATGAGATTTCCATTTATGTTAATATACTTCATTCTTTCTTAAATCTAGGTGACTATAGAAAAGATGAACTCCTCGAGAGCGCACGGTAATAATAATTTAAGCTCAAAATTGTTCAGGAGACCTGAGGAGAGATGAATATTGCTGAGCTAAATTGCTGTCGTGACTCGCATTGTTCCTTTAATTGACTTGGTGCTCAATGCTTTTATACAGAAGTGGAAATGAAGAAAAACTGATGAGCCTCCTCACACCATTAAATGTGAACTGTCACGCTAGTGATGGAAGGAAGGTGAGTTATTGAATTCTCTATGCTAATGTTATCTCCATATCTGTTTGACAGTGTGATTGTTAATGTATAACCATATTCAAATGTTCTCAACGTTGCTGAGCCACTCACATAAGACACATAATGTAGCCAGGCATTTCATGTGTAATTGTTCCAGGTTTGAATAAATAGTTTGCATATGTGTTTGTGAATGGATTGTTTGTTGGTTTCAGTCCACGCCTCTGCATCTGGCCGCGGGTTATAATCGTGTGAAGACAGTGCAGCTGTTGTTGCAGCATGGAGCCGACGTGCACGCTAAAGACAAAGGGTACGATGCGTGTCTCCAATGTGACTTGAAGTGCCATACAAGTTAAGCTCTATTCTTTCACTTAGCACAGAAATGCAGTTTGTAAAAAATCTAATAAAACTTGCATTTTCAGTCTTTTTTGAATGCTTGTGCATGTATTGTGCAATGTTGCAGGCTTAACAACCTTACTACAGATGCACTACAGATGCATCAGTACCATAATGCTTTATCAGCTGCTAAGATCATTTTTTTAATTTTATCAGTATTGGTGAATATTGGATTAAAAAGAAATCAATTTGTAATTAAAATTATACTTTTTTGAGTAATCATTTTCAGATTTTTAATCTGATTAAATGATTAATGGAATAAATATACAGACAGATTCATTGATTGTCAGTGGTTCCCAAAAAGTGGTTATCCAAAAGTTGCAGCCCATTTGTATTTTTCATGCAGTACATTATAATGTTGTTGCTTGTAGCATTTAATATGATTGATTTTTAGTTTTTAGTGTTTCATAATTAATTTATTTAATCATAATAATAATAATAATAATACTGGCCATGTTCGTATTTCACCCAAAAATGGAAATTTGCTGAAAATGTATTCACCCTCAGGCCAGCCAAGGCGTAGATGAGTTTGTTTCTTCATCTGAACAGATTTGGAGAAATGTAGCATTCCATCACTTGCTCACCAATGGATCCTCTGCAGTGAATGGGTGCCGTCAGAATTAGCTGATAAATACATCACCATAATCCACAAGCAATTTACACGAATCCAGTCCATCGATTAACGTCTTAAGATGTGAAAAACATAAGAAACAAATCCAACATTAAAATATTTTTAACTTCATGCGTACAGTATTTTATCCGGAAGCCGCCATTTTTTGTTTCTTACAAACACACAGCTTTTCACTTCACAAGATGTTAACTGATGGACTGTAGTGGTGTGGATTTCTTTTGGATTATTGTGATGTTTTTATCAGCTGTTTGGACTCTCATTCTGACGGCACCCATTCACTGCAGAGATCCATTTGTGAGCAAGTGATGTAATGCCAAATTTCTCCAAATCTGTTCTAATGAAGAAACAAACTCACCTATATCTTGAATGGCCTGAGTGTGAGTACATTTTCAGCAAATGGTCATTTTTGGGAGAACTATTCCTTTAATATCAGTGCATAAATTAAAAATGTATGTAACTTTGTACAGATGAGGTTAGTATTTAATTTGATTACACTAGTCTCATGTTAACATGTATAATTCTGGCTATACTTTCAAAACCATTTGTATTATCCCCTTGACTCAAAGTTATTTACTTAACTTTGAACCCAAACATTCATATAAAGGCAATGTAGTCAAAAGTCAAAAATCTTTCTTCATTATTGTACTCACAAAACCTGTGTATTAAATTTGGTCTTGTGTTAACAGTGATCTTGTGCCTCTTCATAACGCCTGTTCATACGGTCACTATGAGGTAGCTGAGTTGCTTGTAAAGGTAGGTCCATTTTATGTTATTCACACTTTTCTTTCTTGTCTGCTCTCTTGTTCTGAATTTGTGATAACTCCACTCCATCTGTTCATTTTTACACAGCATGGTGCTTGTGTCAATGCTATGGACCTGTGGCAGTTCACACCTTTACACGAGGCAGTCTCAAAAAACAGAGTGGAGGTCTGTTCGCTCCTGCTCAGCTACGGCGCCGACCCCACCTTCCTCAACTGCCACAACAAGAGCGCCATCGATCTGGCCCCGACCGCTCTGCTGAAAGAGCACCTGGCGTGTAAGCGTGTGACTGCTACAAAGACCAGCTCTCATTTTGTCTGGCTCGTCATTGACTGACGGGGTGCCGCTCTTTGTTGCAGATGAGTTCAGAGGTCATGCTTTGCTGCAGGCGGCACGTGAGGCGGACATGGCCCACTTTAAAAAACACCTCTCCCTTGAGACCATCAACTTCAAACACCCTCTAACCCAAGAAACAGCTCTAGTAAGGACTGCTTTATCTTTTTTGTTATGTTATATTTTTATTATTTAATAAATACGCTACATATAATGAATAATTATTAGAAGTCTCTTATGCTAACTAAGTTTGCATTTATTTATTTAAACAGTAATATTGTGAAATATTATTACAATTTAAAATAAGCGTTTTCTGTTTGAATATATTTTAAAATGTAATTTATTCCTGTGATCAAAGCTGAATTTTCAGCATCATTACTCCAGCCTTCAATGTCACATGATCCTTCAGAAATCATTCTAATATGCTGATTTGCTGCTCAAGAAACATTTCTGATTGTTATTATTAATGCTGAAAACAGTTGTGCAGCTTAATATTTTTGTGTGGGTTTTTTTTGTATTATTATAAAAGTGTTTACTCTCAATTTTGATCAACTTAATGCCTTTCTTCTGAATAAAAGTATTAATTTCTAAAAAAAAAAAAAAAAATCACACTGACCCTAAACTTTTGACCGGTACATTTTTTCTGGAAATTCAACAAAAATATTTTCTTATTTATATCATTATATTTAAAGCAGTAGTTCCCAACCTTTTTTCGAGAGGACCCCTATTTTAATAATCAAAATTTTTAACGACCCCCATTACAAAAAGAGCTGTTATGTTTTTAATAAATGCAACAACACAAACATTAAAATAATGACATCAACAACGATGGCCAGATTTGATGTTGGTTGGTTTACTACAATAAAACATGCTATCTACTAACATGTATTACATGTTAAAATAAAAAAAAAAGTTTTAAAATGATAAATCTCAAATTTCAGACTTCAAGTAAAGAGATATGAGTCAAAATGATGAATAATAATTATAGTTATTTTAGCTGTTCTGTTAATAATTATAGATACCTTGTTATCCAAATTATTTAGATTTTTAAAATGTACATTAACCTATTTTTCATCAATATGTTAACATTTACAACTGTGCAATAATTTGCATCAGGCTGAATGAAATTGTAAATCCACTGTCTGACAGCAGGTGGCGCTTATGGAAGAGGAGAAATAGAGCTGTTCCCCGGTAACCACTGTAAACAAAGCAGCGCTGTACTTATATGGAGGAAAGTTGCAAAGAAAATACCATCGAAACTTTTCTCAAGACAGTCGGTTACCTTCAGAGAGAAATTCATATAATTCATTCATATTTTAATTCATGTAATTTGCTTCCTTAACCTTTCACTGCCTTCCACCATATGGAAGAAATCAACACTGAATGGTGCGCTTGCTTAATGTTCGACAGTGTTTATGCGAGTTTTTCAAATTTAGGTAATCAAATACAGTTTTAATGATAATTCAGAATATTAAAACCATCTGAACTTTCATCTTGGTTTATTGTCATACTGTAACAGTTTCATCCCTATTTGTATTTGTGAGCTTGGAGACCCCTTTAGCGTCACGCGAGGTTGGGAACCACTGATTTAAAGGCTCAAAACATTAAAGGGGTCATATGACGTTGCTAAAAAGAACATTATTTTGTGTATTTTGGTGTAATGCACCTTTTTTGGTGCATTTGGTCTTTTTGTGGTTTAAGGTTAAAAAAACACATTATTTTCCATCTAATGTACATTATTGTTTCTCCTCTATGCCCCGCCTTTCTGAAACGCGTCGATTTTTACAAAGCTCATCGGTCTGAAAAAGCGAGGTATGCTTTGATTGGCCAGGTATCCAGTGCGTTGTGATTGGCCGAATGCCTCAAGCGTGTTATGAACCAAGAGCTTGTAACACTCCAAAGAGAAAGGAAAAATTGAAATCGCATCATATGACCCCTTTAACTGTAAAAAGCATATTTCCAGCTGTACAATCCTATTTGATGAGCCACATTTCAAGGCGTTAAAAAAAATTGATATCTGCCCACCTGTGAATACTACAGCTGAACACAGAGCATCCAAAGATCATTTTTGGTTATGGTTTTATAGGACTTGAATAGGAAGTGAATAAAAGAGACTTCTGTGATTGTCTTTGATAGCATTGTGTCTCCACGTCGCCCTATCCCAAGAGGAAACAGATCTGTGAATTGCTGCTCCGGAAAGGCGCCAACGTCAATGAGAAGAATAAAGAGTGAGTCAGTCAGTAATGATGTTCAAAGGATTTATTTAACACATGAATTTGTATCATGTGCAGTAATGACTTCTGGATCTCTATCTTTCACACAGCTTCCTCACACCTCTGCATCTTGCCGCTGAGAAGTCCCACAATGACATCATCGAGGTGTTGGTGAAACACGAGGCGAAGGTAAGTGAGATTTTTCACAGCTGCAGTAAAACGTACTCAATTACACATAGGCATCACAGATGTTGTCACATCACATTCATTTTGTCTGCCTCTAGTTAGGTCATCAGGAATGAAAATACATAAATCTGTGAGTGAACATGAAATTAAAATTGAACCATTTCATTTTTTTAATACGTGTTCCATTAGTACATAATCCAGTGACTTCCCAAGTCCCGTCCTTCATGTTTTGTGTTGTTGAATATCCACCCTGGTAAAAAAGTGATGTTTAAAATACATTTATTTCATACTAAGTATAGTTCAAATCTATTAATTAATTTACTGACATATCGCTTGAGACTTACTAATATAAAAATGATAATGAAACTTTATTTGGAGTACTATTTATGCACAACACACATTTCTTAATATGAAGCCTAAAATGTGTTTTAATGTCACTATTGATGAGGATTGTATGATCTTTGAATAATAGCGGTCTTTAAATGCAAGAAATTTAAAGTTTACCTTAGAATACTTGCAATAGTTGCACTTTAGCACAATTAAATATACTTCAGTATATCTTTAGTTGGACTTCAGCACTACTTCGAGACTTTTAAGTATACCAGTTTAGTATACCAAAAGTACAGTTGCAGGGTATTTTTATTAAATACATAAATATGTAAATGTATTTAGCAAATGAATTTGTATTATGTGCATGAAATAAATGTATTTCGAATACATTTTAGTATATTTATTTTTCACTAGGACAGTGTCTCTCGGAAAAGCATAAAAACTTATTTTGACGTGTCCCTCAGTTTATAGAAACAAACAAAAATTATGTTGATAGTAATGGACTGGTACTTTGCAAAAAATGTTTGTAATTTTAACTGTAAAAATGCTACAGTAAAATTGATTAACGGTACGTTACTTCTATAAGTAATAAGTCATGTAATGTTACAGTAAAATACTGCTAAATGTAGCCTACAGTTTTTGGAAGTGAAAAAATATCTTAAATTTCCAATGTGACACTACACATTTGATGTTTTTTCCATTTAAATAACCTCAGTTCTTATCAGTTATGTACATTAGGGTTTTATGTTCATCTTATGTTGATAAATGAATGCTTTTCATGAATGTTTATTGCATGTGGCTTTCTCATTGCTACCTGTGATTTTATGGTGGTTCTCAGCGTAAAGGTACAAAACTGATTTTAGTACTTCAGTTGGTTGGTATATTAACATTTATATAGGTTAATAAAATATACACTGTTTTACTGAAAATGCAAGTTAAATCCGTAAAACTTTAAATGTTGCTGCCATATTATTTACTGTAAAGTTCTGGCAATCACAGCTGCTGATTTGTACTGTAAATATTTGCAGATTTTTCCTGTCAGCGTGTTGTTGTTTTGTGCAGGTGAATGCAGTAGATAACCTGGGTCAGACGGCGCTGCACTGCGCGGCTCACTGCGGCCATCTGCAGACCTGTCGAATGCTCCTGAGTGCTGGAGGTGACCCGCTCATCACCTCCCTACAGGGCTTGTCACCCTCCCAGCTCGCCAATGAAAGCATTCAGGAGATACTGCAAGGTGATGTTTACTTCAGATTCACAATTTCCTCACCCTCATGTCCTTCAAAACCTGTATGACTTTCTTCTTTGAAAAAAAAAAAAATCCCCAAATTTAAGACCTCCTAAAATAATAAGACATTTGTTATACCATTAAAATATTTAAGACTTGTTATTATCTTGAATTCCATACAACTGAATTTTTTAGATCTTCAGGGGCTTTAATTTCAAGATGCTCCTAAATACATTTTACAGTTCGCCCATCTATTTCTAGTCAAAAATGTGAGTGAAACACTGTCATGCTCGCAGTTATAGAAAATATTTTTTAATTCCTAGAGGGAGCATGCACAGGTAACTCCGATACAGACAGGCAGCTGTTAGAAGCCTCCAAATCAGGAGATCTGGAAGTCGTAAAGGTAAGGACTAAAAATACACCAAAAAGTGTGATGTTTTTTTTCTCCCATGTAGTTGTGAAATCATTCTGAAGTTGATTATACCAGATTCCCATGTTAGAGCTGACATTGTTCTTCACCTTTCCATGTAGAAGCTCTGTACTCTTCAGAACGTGAACTGTAGAGACGTTGAGGGAAGGCAGTCCACACCTCTGCACTTCGCTGCGGGATACAACCGTGTGGCTGTGGTGGAGTATCTGCTGCAGCACGGAGCCGATGTACATGCTAAAGACAAGGGGTGAGATGTCACAAGACTAGAGATCCAAATGTAGAGTCAAAAAGAAAGAATTTGTGCACCTCTGCAAAGCCGCAGCAAAATAAATGATATTTTTCCAGAACTGACTAGATAAGTGTGTTTACCCCAAAATAATACAAAAACAATCAATAGAAAGCATCTTACTATTTCACTGACTGCATTGTCATGAACGCATGACTCTTGTATGGAGGCCCAAACCTGCAAAAATTTAAAATAAATGAAAGAATGTAATAATAAGAACATAAATAATGGAATATATGGCTTGATAAAACAAATGCAGTACAATTTAGTATGGTTTTCTTTCTTTCTTTTTTTGTATTTATTTTTAACTTTATTTGTTCTTTATTTTATCAAGTCATTTATCAAGTAATCCGTTATTTATTTTCCTGTTATTAAATGTATTCATTCATTTGTTCATTTCTAATTTCTGCAGGTTTGGGCCTCCATACAATGGTGCTACATTTAAATAATAAAAAAGTCATACATAAACAGACAAGACATTTATTGAAATAGACATGCATGTGTTCTCTCTCATTAAACAGACCTTATTCAATTAAATTTAAAGAATATATATTTAAATTTTTAGAATATAGCCACAATTGTTTTTTTTTAATAAAACAGTTAATATACAGTTTATAAAAAATACACAGTTAAATTAAGTATTAAAATAACCTCTGAAATGTATTTTAAAAAATAGTAAAACATCAAATATTTTCCAAAAATAGCATTGCCTTGAATTCTTTAAGAAACACTGGTGCAACAAATGCCAAAAAGTTGCACGTTTTCATATTGGTTTGAAAGTAAAACTGTTTTGTGTGACATAGTGGTCTGGTTCCCTTGCACAATGCCTGTTCTTATGGGCATTATGAGGTGGCAGAGCTCCTCGTCCTTCATGGTGCTGTGGTTAACGTGGCCGACCTCTGGAAGTTCACCCCACTGCATGAGGCGGCCGCCAAGGGCAAATATGAGATCTGCAAACTGCTGCTTCAGGTATCCAAGAACTCCGATTGAAAGCCACTGTTCAGTTTTTTTAATAATTTACATTATCGATGACAGCGAATTTTGTTTAGCGCCATGTTCACTAAACTATAACGAAGTACCTCTTTGATATAGCATGGTGCTGACCCGACCAAAAAGAACCGTGATGGAAACACCCCTCTGGACTTGGTGAAGGACGGAGACACAGACATTCAGGATCTGCACAGGGGTGACGCAGCACTGCTGGACGCCGCCAAGAAAGGCTGCTTATCTCGCGTTAAAAAGCTCTGCACTCCAGACAACGTGAACTGTCGTGACACGCAGGGGCGGCACTCCACACCGCTGCACCTGGCAGGTAGGTGTGCATCAGAGTATGATGCTTTCATTTTCCACTGTATACAATACACGGTGAATAATAAGAAACAGTGCACCAGGGACGAAATCAAGGATGTACGACTGGTTTTTAAGTGCAAAACCAGAATCTGGAGATCTTTTTAAATACTCTAGCTTAGTAAAACCTGCTACTTTTGTATTTTTCTGTTGTTTTACAGAAAATAGTCATAAAAAATGGCTTGGTCTGTGAGTGTGAAGCGATGATTTCAGATGCTCACACAACAAAACTCTACAAAATGTTGCTTATTTATTTAGTTTAATTTTAATTAAGTAGCATTTGATTTGTTTTAGTCTGCGCTTTTCATACAATTTGCATAGAACTGTAAAGGGAAGACATTTAGAAAGCAGGAAGTATAAAGCTATTTAGTAACTCTAGTAACTCCAACATGTTTTACAGTTTGTGAAAATGTACATTTAAATAAATTTAATTGATATTTGGTCCCAGACCCTATTTTGAAAACCTCTTGTCTAATGGACATTAGCACAACCTTCATTTTTATTATATGCATATTTAACATTTCTGTGCAAATATAGGCTTCTTCTAATGAAGTTGAATATGAATAAATTGACTTTTAACTGAACTGTATGTGTCAGACTTGCACTGAACAAAACTGACTGAAATTTCAACATTTTGTTATCATGATTGTCCTATTCTAAGGGCACAGGTGTTCAAGTAAAGAGTAAAATATGAAATATTTCATTTAAAAAAAAGGATATTTTCATGTTGGTGGTGTTTGTTTTATGTGTATGATTAGCTGGCTATAATAATCTGGAGGTGGCTGAATATCTGCTGCAACACGGGGCAGAGGTGAACTCTCAGGATAAAGGTGGTCTCATTCCCCTCCATAATGCTGCATCTTATGGGGTGAGTGATGCTCCAGTACATGTCCATTAACATGCTTGATAAAAGTTACATATATATACATGACAAAAAAAAACATCTCTTACTCAAAACACTTTGTAAGGGGATAAAATGAATTGTTTTCTAAAACAGAGGTGTTTGTTTTAAAGTAATCTTTATTTTTGGTTGCTTTTGGTTTGGTTTAAAGTCATGACCAAAATGTCAAATTTGATGCAAATGTTGGTTTATATTGGTTTGTTTTGAATTTCATTATGTCACTTTTCTTTTTAAAAAAATGGGCAAAATCTGTATTTTGTACAACAGTTAGTTCTGGTCTGTTAATTTGATTGGTCAAGCTACATTCCAGTAGTTTAAAATTGCATATTAACATGCACACACACACACACATAGAGTAATTGACAAATTACTGACAATGGTGGTAATGTGGCCACTACACAAAGCAAGTTACACATCTGGTGTGCATTATTGTTAAATTATTCCGCTTATGCTGTACTTACCTCACCTCAAGACATTGCTCAAGCATGAAAATTGTTTGTCATTTTTATCCCAATGTTCATCATATTTGTTTGCTTGATCAGTTTCTTTGTGGGTTTTGATTATTTTGCTGTTGTAGGCTGTAAGGACTTTTGAATTAACTGAAATATTTTGGAGAAAACATAAAACTGTGGTCAACAGGCCTGGAAATAATTTCACATCTTGTGAAATGTCAAACAATCCTAATCAAGCATTTAACAGCCCTTTAACAGCCAAGTCATACAATAGCTACATGTGAGGATCAGGCAAAAATTTCACTGACAGTCCTCACAGCTCTCATTTGTGCTTCAAACGTGGCACCACAAAACGCTACTGTCAAAGAAAGACATTCATAAGGGATTGGAATGACATGAGGGTTTTTTTTTTTTTTTGGATTTTATTCAAAATTGTGCAGGTGCCATACCTCATAATATTTCATCATATTTCCCATTGGGAAAGGGAAAAGGTCCAGTGCTGTCTGGCAGCCACACATAGTCATATTCATGCAGCAACATTCTCCAGAAAGTGAAAGAGACACCAACCCGAGAGCACGACCGCTCCATGTGTTTCATTGCAGCATGTGGATGTGGCCGCTTTGCTCATCAAGTACAACGCATGCGTCAATGCTACAGATAAGTGGGCGTTCACTCCTTTGCACGAGGTGGCGCAGAAAGGCAGGACCCAGTTGTGTGCGCTGCTTCTAGCGCACGGGGCCGACCCCACGCTCCGCAACCAGGAAGGCCAGTCGCCGCTGGACCTCGTAACGGTATTCACACTCTCTGTGTGTGCTTACTGGACAAGTCACCTCGGGGGAAGAAGATCTTTCTCCTTCTTACCTTCCACTTATCTACTGTTCCTTTTATTTTCTGCAACTCTGATGCAGTTAAGCCTTCTCAATCCAAACCTCTGTTAATCATACCAGGGAGAATGATCTCTTACTGTATTATGTCATAAATCTGTCTGTTTTATTTGGTTGCTGCTCTTCTTTTCATTTGTTCAGTGCTTGAGGAGGCTTACTGATCATTCCATGCACCATTGCCTGAAAAGACTGCACATCTGCACAAGCAGTGGATGTCTAAAGTGGAAAAATATGCCTGGAGAAAGATAAAGGGATAGATCAACCAAAAATGAAAGTTATCATTTATGCACTTTATGGCAATCCAAAGCTTTCTTCTGTAGAACCTAAAAGGAGACGAGAAGCCTGAGCATTCTTCATTCTTCGCTTTTTTAAGATTTTCACTTAAATGTACTTACTTTACAAATAAAAAATTCCCAACATAAAAAATAATAATAAAATGACAAGAATTAAAAGGCATTTATCAGTAATACAGATGCCCATGAGTCATAAATTCAGCCCAACAATGGCTAGTGCTGATTATAATCAGAAATACATAATTGATTTACTTGCTTACTTACTTCAAATATATCAAATTAATTCAAGGAAAAATATTTCTCCCAACTAAAGCTGTTAACTACACTTTGTACTCAATTGGCACTTTACTATCACATTAAAGGCTAAAATTAACAACAGAGCCCAAACTATTAAATTCAATTCCTATACCTAAGATATCATAAAAACTGAGTTGTATACAGAAATTTGCATTGCACATAAGGTCATTTTCATTAAGACCTAATTTAATTAGTAAATAGGATCATTCAAATTAAAAATGTTTGTGATATTTAAAGAATTCATTTGTGACGTGTTACAAGATATATTGAAATATTACAAATATCTCTGTACTAATTGCATTATGCATATTCCAAGGGCTTGTGATAATGGATTGATTTTAGCACTTTAGAAATTTTTATAATTTATATTAAATTCATGTAAATGTTAAACATTTACATAGAAATAAAAGTAAATCAATTTTATACACTTAGAGCATTATCATATTGCATTATTTAACAAGTTACCACATTTCACTTTTTTTCTTATATTGTGCCGCCAAAGTCAAGAGAGTTGGGTCAGTTTTGGAAGATGACAGACTGTTTATTTTTGGTGTACTATCCCTTTAACCATGGATGCATGCCAACAGCTTGCTTGTTTGACATATGTTCTCACTGGTTTTGTGTACGAATGTTTTCTTATTTGCGTTGTTGTTCCTGAACTGACACTCACAGAAGTGTGTGACTAAATGTGGGCTTGTCTGTCTCAAGTGATGATTGCGCTGCCTGTCTCTCCAGGCGGACGATGTCCGAGCTCTCCTCACAGCAGCCATGCCCCCCTCAGCGCTGCCGGTGTGCTATAAACCCCAGGTTATCAGCGTCTCTGCGTCTGTGGCGGTGGTGCCGTCGACTCTCAACTCGAGTCCAACACCGCTCTCTTCAAACTCCAGTATGGACGGCCAGTCCGGGACCTTCCCTGAGCTAAACACTCTACTACCGCCTTCTGGAGCTGAAGGAGCTGTAGGCATAGAGTTAAAAGAGGAGGGTGGGTTTAGTCAAGATTAGTGTAGTTTTGCTTGTAGCATGCATTTGATGACTGCTGAAAGTTTTCTTTAACCTGATGCTTTTTTCAGGTCTAGCTGTAGAGTTGAGTATCAGCCAGTTCCTTCACAACCTGGGATTGGAGCATTTGTTGGAGATCTTTGACAGAGAACAGGTACTTTCTTCTGTTTCAATGCTTATCACAGTTGAGATCAGCTTGTTTTGAGTCCGAGCCCAGGCTGAGACCCGAGTATGTTGAGTCTGAGACGGAGTTCACAACAAGATAAATTTACCTCCAGGACAGTGTTTAGCAGGCTGACTGAAATGTTGAGATGTGCTAGAGGAACACACTGTAGAGTAATCACTCATCTGATCAGTGGGAGTAGTACATTAGTCACATGCCTAGAGGTGTGATATTAATACGAGTCTGTGTCAATAGATAACTCTGGACGTCCTGGTGGAAATGGGCCACAAAGAGCTGAAGGAGATTGGCATCAACGCTTACGGTCACAGACACAAGATCATCAAAGGAGTGGAAAGACTTATTAGTGGTCCTCAGAGTAAGAGCTGCTTCTCCTTTCATCCATTTGAGAGAATCCTTAATTAGAGACAGGGTTTAAGGATCACTTTTTCTCAGTACAAGCTGCTTTATTAAGGGGGTCATATTATACATTTCTTAAAGTTTATTTATTTATCTTGAGGTCTACTTAGCATGTAAGCCTGTTTCCGCCACTGAATAAAAAATAAAAAAAGGTAATTCACAAGTTTGACTTTTTTTCTCAGAACTGCATGATATAAACTCACAGTTCTGACTTTTTTCTAAGAATTGCAAGATATAAACTTTGCAATTGCGAGAAATAGTCAAAATTGTGAGATATAAATTCACGTTTCAGACTTTTTCTCAGAATTGCGTGATACAAACGCACAATTGCGAGTTATAAAGTCAGAATTGCGAGTTTATATCTTATTAATTATAAATTATTTAATTAAATGATCTTATTAATTATATCTTATTAGTTATAAGTCCAATTCTGAGGAAAAAATACTATTTTCTGACAGAGTTCTGACTTTCTACCTTGCAATTGCATGTTATAAAGACAGAATTGCAAGATACAAACTTGCAATTCTGAGAAAAATGAGCAATCTCGCAATTCTGACTTTAAAACATGCAGTTGCGAGTTTCTGAGAAAAAAATCAGAATTGTTTGTTCATATCACAATTGTGACTTTCTCAGTACTGCGAATTTATCTCACAGTTCTGACATTTACTCACAATTGTGAGTTTATATCTCACAGTTCTGACTTTGTTCTCATAATTCTGAGAAAAAAGTCAGTATTGCAAGACGTAAACTTGCAATTGTGAGAAAAGAGATAAAAAGTTGCAATTACCTTTTTTATTTGTTATTCATTGGTGGAAATGGACTTCCATAACTTATGTAAATAATGTTAAAAAGTTTTTTTAATACCAAAATTCATTTACTTTTATTTTCCACCCTCTCTCTGAGCATTTAAATTAAATGTGATGTTTTTTTTATGCTGCACATTTAAAGTTTCTTACTCTGCTTTCATTTTCAGCTAACATTAAAGTATGTGACTTAATTGCAGTTAGTTCAATTAATTAATTGGCATATTATGTGAATGAACAATTGATTGACAGCTCTAATACCAACTAATTGTACAATAACTACAGTTTTTTTAAATTCTTGCTTTTGATTTCTCATAATATGACCTCTTTAACGATCAAGCTGAAGCTTTTGTTTTGCAGATTAGTTTGCACTTAAACGTTTACATCCCCTTCACAGGTTTAAACCCTTACTTGACCCTGAACACGACCAACAGTGGAACAATACTGATAGACCTCTCTCCAGATGACAAGGAGTTTCAGTCGGTTGAGGAGGAGGTAGAGATGCTCATTTTATGAAATGTTTTCATGTTTATCAATTTTCTCATTGTGCGTCATCTGTCTGAGCCCCTAATCACGGTCATGTTATCTAAAAGTGTTCCAGGAGAATCTAGTAATGGATGTACATGTTCAAGCACACAGTCTAGTGCCACGTAGCTAATTATTGAAACACCAAGGACGTACTGTGTTTACTAGGGTTCTCTTGGCTCTTCTGTTTCGTGTCTCTGAACAGATGCAGAGTACGATTAGGGAACGCAGGGATGGCGGTCATGCGGGTGGGGTTTTCAACAGATACAACATTGTGAAGGTAAAAGATCTGAATGCCTCACTTCATATTTAATTTTTTCTTTTTTCCTATTAAGCTATTTTTACAATTTAGTGGCTCTGTTTCCACACTGTTCCCCTGCCACTGCAGGTCTTGCATTGCATTACTGACAGGGTCTCCAACAGGTTGAATTTATTTCTCCTGTAGCTCAAAGTAGAGCATGTCACTAGCAATGCCGTGGTCATAGGTTCCGTTCTCAGAGAACTAATGAAAAATGTATACATTCAATGCAATGCAATTCATTTTGGATAAAAGCTGCTAAATGCATATAAGTAAATGTATAATTTTGTAGTGAATATAATTTTTTTTAGTTATAAGCTATTGCAAAATATTGCCTATTGTTCTTTTTTTTAGTAAAATTATTAATGTTTAATTTGTGAGCAAATCATACTTTTTTTTTTTTCAATAATTTTGTTGAATCCCATTGCTAGTTAACTTCAGGAAAATTACAAAGTCAATACCTTTACAGTGTTTCACTACATTCATTCTGCCATGATGGGCCGCCACAGCTTCTCAGTGACATCATGGTGGCGCGGGATTTTTCATAATTTTGCATAATTCTACTCATTCCCGCAAGTTCCGCCCTTATAACGTGACGACAGATGACGGAATGTATCATTTGCACGTGCTTTAAAGTCTTGCTAATTTAAACATTCAAGCAACTTTAAGCCATTCAAGAGCAAAAAACGTGAAAGAGAACTTAATACAGTACTCGCTCGCTCTTATAGACCATTTTCTGTGCACCCAAAGCACATGCGTATCTGAAACAGCACGCAACTGCAGAATTGAGTTATGTTTTGCGCCTTATTGTGCATAAACGGCCAAATACATACAATAGTATGTCAAAATGCCCATCTTGGCAAGTATTCACTTAAACAAAGTCAGTTTATATTAAACATAGACTGTATATAAGTGCATGTAAACCATTGAGAAGCAAAACGCAAGTGTAACAGTATATTAGATCCGTGCATTAGGTCTTAAAGAGACAGCACCTTAAATAAGCCTGCTGTCTGTCATCATTACTCTTTAATTATACAGTGAAGACTATCCAGTGTTATTTTAGTCGAATCCTTTTTTTCGTTTGTTTTTTACAGTTGAGTTCAGTTCCTGTAGTAATTCTGTAACTTTATTACTGTTAGATCTACCTGGAAAACATAAAGTACTGTTAATTTCAGTTAATTTCTAGTTATTGGTTTTGTTTGTGTTATTGCTTGTCATTATTATTTATCTGTTCTTATTTTATTACTTACTGTTTACTTGTCTTTTTTTAGTTAAAATAAATTCAATTGAGTTTGAGTGCTTGTGATTCTTTGGTTTAACCACCTGACATCACAGCTGGAATAAATCCTAGAGGAAGCACTGCCTTTATATCCAACTGAAACGAATGATAGCATCAAACAGATTTGGTTCCACTTCCACACCAAAAACTAGTGTTCTTTGAAGATACACATCTTTAGAGAGTTTAGAGAAACTTTATCAGTGTAGAGAGTAAAGATGCGGTAACATTGGTGAAATTGTGTGGACAAAAAAGGTCCATTGTATGTTGTCAATATTGTAGCAATGCATGATGCATTGTTCACACAGAAATAACTTTCAACTTTTCAGAGCAGCTTTCGACACGGTAAATCAGTGAAAAACTTGAAATGGCTGGATTTTGCATGCGAAAAATCATTGAATAACAGTAAATGTGACCACATCATTTTATTATTAGTTAATGCATTGGACATCAATGACTAACAATGAACAATACTTTTACAGCCTTAATCTAGATTCATGTACATTTTACTACATATACAAGTTTTATAAATTAGCATTAGTTAATGTTCAATGTAAAAGTGGTATATTTTCTTTTTGGTCAGATCCAGAAGGTGTGCAACAAGAAGCTGTGGGAGAGATACACCCATCGCAGAAAGGAAGTTTCTGAGGAGAACCACAACCATTCCAATGAACTCATGCTCTTCCATGGTGTGTGAACCACTCATTCATTCACTGCTATTCTGATTAGGACTGCAAAAACTAATAGATAAAATCAGTAATATATTATTTGACAACAAAGTAGTTAAAGGGGTCATATGATGTTGCTAAAAAGAACATTATTTTGTGTATTTGGTGTAATGAAATGTGTTTATGTTACGTGCCTTACCATATTGTGATGCCCTGTCTGGCCGGAGCGACGAGACAAAAACATTAAAACCCGTTATAAACTAGGCATTTGTTTTATCCAGTGGGGACATAATTACGGATTATAATGACTTATACTGTCTTTTTACGCGTTGCGTTGCATCGCACCGCGTAAACATAAAACCATGTCTGCATTTGTGATCGGAGAAATGACAAACTACAAGCCCTACTCTACACTGCTCAAAACTCGCGTTTGAATCGTCAGTGGCAAATTCTTTAAATATAAAAAACGTACTTACAGTCTTGTGAGTCAGAACAGCCGGCATTGTAGTCTACTCTACCAGGATCAGGAAACAGTCCTCCATAAAATGCGCTGGACACATCTGAATATTTGGGTTGAACTGTTCTGGAACAGTGTTGTAAATACAACTTAACCACTGATTTCTAGTCGTGTCCTCTTTTGGAAGACCAAACAAAGTAGTTTTGCTTTCACAATGAAAAAGCGTCACACACGTTGAGACTTTAGTCTTTGCAACTTTACAGATCTTCTTTATGCACCAAGAGCTTGTAACGCTTCAAAGAGAAAGGAAAAATTGAAATGCATCATATGACCCCTTTAATTGATTAATCGCGTCTTCCCACTTTGCACAGAAAACGTCTCCCAGTCATGTCACTCTACAGTAATAAATAACTCATTCATGTGGACAAAATGCATCTGCAAATGCAGCAAAGGATGCAGAGTGAGCTGCTCCAGGAAAAGCGCACAACCCAAGTTTATCCTAAACATGAGAATTTGTCATATTAAGCGATTCACACAAGCATACAGTTTAACACTGCATGCCTTGTTTTTGTGCATTGACAGATGCTGTTTAATCCATTTGAGGTGCATTTTCCTCAGTGCATATTAAATTACATTCTACAGTTGTATCCTCCTTATATGTAAACATTAGAAAATCGCACAGTTGTTTCCATTTTGCATAAAGGCTGATCCTGACAGCAAACGAGTCTCTGATAGACAGAGCGCAATATAATATGCATGTTCTTGTTAGACATTATTTGTAAGTTAATTCTACATGTGAGAAATAATTATTTTTCTTTATTATGATTGTTAATCTAGTATTTTTTTTAACTTCTACTTTCAAATGGTAAGCATTTAGATGTTCAGATGATCTGGATGATGATCAGATCAGATCTCTGTGTGGAGCACTGGCTGTTGTCAGACAAAAATCTCACTGGATTATTACAATTAATGGCACAATGAATGTTTGAAAATGTAAACTGATATTAGTGTATAGAAAATACTAGTGTTCAAATGATTTTGGCCACCACTGTACATTCAGTATTTGTTTTTATTGCCGTCAAACTGCACATTGTTTGGGCAGGATGTGGAATAAAAAAAATGCTTTGATTCTGCTTCCCCAGGGTCACTGTTCGTAAACGCCATCATTCACAAGGGCTTCGACGAGAGGCATGCGTACATTGGTGGAATGTTCGGGGCTGGGATCTACTTCGCGGAAAACTCTTCCAAAAGCAACCAGTACGTTTATGGAATAGGAGGAGGAACGGGGTGCCCTCTTCACAAGGACAGGTCATGCTACATGTGTCAGAGGTGAGATGAGTTCCCGTTACAGTGCACGGAGCAGGCCTCTCATTTAAGTGGCTTCACGTTTCCCAACACAATGTGTTTTGTCAGCAGAGTGTTGCTTTGTGGTGTAATTTTCCAAAACCTTGATTTCCTATTTCCTTTCTAAAGTGCTCATGCTCTCCATTCTTCGCTCTTTCTACTCCTCCCAGGCATCTTCTGTTCTGTCGGGTGACTTTGGGGAAGTCTTTCCTGCAGTTCAGCGCGATGAAGATGGCCCACTCGCCACCAGGACACCACTCAGTCACTGGCCAGCCCAGTGTCAATGGTCTCGCTCTGGCTGAGTACGTCATCTACAGAGGAGAGCAGGTACTACAGCCACAGGGCCCAGATTTTTCCATTCATAGCCAACGTGCATTCGCAAACCCATTTTAATTCTGAGATAGAATGTGTAGGCCAGATTATTTTGCAGTTTACTGAATCGTGAAAGCGAGTGCTTCTTTCCTGAATTGTTATAGTCAACTCTTAACTAAAACCATACAAAAATACTAAATGAAAACGAGACATGTTTTATATATATATGTCGTATACATGTCTCATTTTCATTTAGTTTAAATTGATGTACTAATTTAACTAAAATTGAAATCAAAATAAAAACTAAACTTATTTATACACATAATTACTAAAGCTTTAACTAAAATTAGTGCTGTCAAACGATTAATCGAAACAAAAACTTTTATTTTGGATGTGATTAATTGCGATTAATCGTTTGACAGCACTAACTAAAATTAAAATGAAAACAAACTATAAAAATAAAAGCTAATTCAAGCTATTAAAGAAGACTATAATAGCATCTCAATGATACTGAAATAACTCTGTACACTGTAGTATTGTAAACAATGTTGCCAATATTTATACAAAAATATATTTTGGTCATTTGGAGATGTACAGTATATACTTTCATTCAAAAGTTTGGAGTTGATCTTTTTATTTTTTTTAAAGAAGATACTTACCAAGGGCTACATTTATTTGTTCAACAATAAAAAAAAAACTGTGAAAGAAATGATACTGTGTAATATTATTACAAGACTAGAAATGTATTTAAGAGCTTAATTCTGTTTGAATACATATTAAAATGTAATTTATTTATAATATCATTAATCAAGTCTTCAGTGTCCTTCAGAAATCATTCTAATATGCTGATTTGCTTCGCAAGAAACATTTCTTATTATTAGCAATGTTAAAAACAGTTATGCTGCTTCACATTTTTAAGGAAAATTTGGTAAATTTTTTCAGTAGAAAGTAGAGCATTCTTGCTGAATAAAAATGTTGATTTCTTTAAAAAAAAAAAAAAAAAAAACATTTATTGTCAAGTGAAACTAAGACTGCTTTTGTCATTTTTCCTCCCAAGGCTTATCCTGAATATTTGATCACGTACCAGATCATCAAACCGGACGGTTCTTCAGATTAACACACAGGAGCAGAAACACGATGCTCTTTCCATCTCAGACGAGAGAAACTGCTTGTTTATTGCATGCTTTATTTATACAGTGAATAATTATTTTCTCTTCCTACAGCTGTCTGCTTTTGTCTAATTTAAAGCAACTTATTAATCAAATTTCAGACGCAACAAGTCTCACGGGTTCAGTCATTTACACTGGTTACAAAACTTCCATTTCCTAACGTCACAAAGTTTCACTTATTTATTCTACAAAGACAATTGTATATATATTTTGTACTAATTGATTTATTGATGTTTGTATCATAAGAGTTTTATGCCTGAGTTGTAAATGTTTGCCACTATGCTGCAGTTTTCAGTGTGAATACAGGGTCTTTTAAAGGTTATTTGGTGGCATCAGACCAGTTGAAAAGCATCCAGTATTCAGGATAAAGAATATTTGGCAGAACAGGACGAGACTTAATCCAAGTATCAAATTATCTTACAATGTCCTCGTCTGTTGTTGCCCTCCAAAAAAGTATGACTTTAACTCTGCCATGATGTGTTACTCTGCGGAACGAGAAGACAAACTTAGTTTATTCTCACTCTGCAATGTATTGGTGCTCGACTGAATCATTTCTGGGTTTTGATATGAAAATGCTGTTTTTGTCACAATAGTCCAGGAGTACTTGTACCCTGTTGTGCATGAACATGAACAACTCTTGTAATGTCATGTCTAAGATGTGTTTACTTTGTCGTCAAAACAACAGCGTCGATAACATTATGATCAATTAAAGAGACGCTTTTTATCATTCTCCTGCATTGTTTCTGTCATCATCACACAACGTTAGCCTGCTCCAGCATCTCAATGTGAGCATTTGTGAAACTAACAAATGTCCAACAGGGGGCACTATTGTACTAAAAGTCGTTTTAGCTTTAAAGCGTTGCTTCTGGCTAACAGTCCACAATCCATAATAATGCTTCCTTCAGTGAAAAAGTCGATCCGCTGTTGTCCTCTCACATCAAAATCCAAAGACATTTGTTTAGAACTGATTTCGCTTATAAACAGTGCTTAATTGGTGCGTATATCTCTGCTGATTCTGACAAGGTGACAACTGGAGAAAGCAATTGTATTTTAGCCGGAAGCAACCATTTGAAATTGACCCTTTGCAAAGACCCGTCCCCCTTAGTTACTGTTGCTACGTCCGACAAGCCATGGCGTTCTCACGCAGTGAAAATTACATCGTGGAGCAAGACACAACGCGCCGACAGACAAGACACAACAAGTTACTTTTGGTATGAAATAAAGTCTCAGCTTTTAAATTTTGTCATTTTGTAAGAAATTGAAACTTTTGAAAGGTTTGTGACTCTTAATGTGTCGCGACAGATACTTACAGTTCAAGCGGCGAGTGAAGAATAACCTCTTCCTTTTTACTAGTTATAGCACGAAATAAACATGAATGAACATCAGAAAGTATCTTGTTTCAACCATGGAAAGATGTCAATACACACCATTTTTCAAGTTTAAGTCCACCTAAATTAATCTACACTCAAGTTTTCGTGGGAATCGTGTGGATTATTGTGATGTCTTTATCAGAGTTTGGACTCTCATTCTGACGGCACCCATTCACTGCAGAGGATCCCTTGGTGAGCAAGTGATGATGTAGGCCTAATTCAAAATTTCTTCTAATCCATTCCCATGAAGAAACAAATTCATCTACATCTTGAATGGCCTGAGGGTGAGTACATTTTCAGCAAATTTTCATTTTTGCTTGAACTATTGCTTTTTTTCTCCACCCAAATTTGTACGATTGTACGGTCTGACTCATCCAAAAATGTCCAACTTTGTAGGTAAAATGGAAAGCCCATTCACTAAATTCATACAAATTCGCAACTAATTCACCAAATCTTAAAATACTTACTTGTTTAAACTACTGAAATTACTACTAAACTGTGGTGAGACTGTGTTGCTCGTGAAAAACTCCTTGCTTTAAAAAGTAATGCTTATTCCACATTCATGAACTACACTGAGCTCTGGAAAACACATATGAAACCCTGTCGCTTTGTGGTGCTTGTCTGACCTTCTAAAGGCAATACCTATATGTGATATGACAAAATACACAATTCAAGTTCAGACAAAAGTTTTTACTTTTGTGCTACAGACATTTTCGTAATAGTAGAATGGCTTTTAAAAGAAGCAGTCTATCAAAGCAACCACAGAAGCCTCCCGAAGAAGCTTTGTCTGAATCATTCAGTGAACGTCTCGGTTACGTATGGTAACCCTCGTTCCCTGAAGGAGGGAACGGAGACGTCACGTTGGATGACCGACGAATTGGGATCTCGCTTAGAGAGACCAATCTACTTCGAGTGTAAACTAAACGAGCCAATGCACATTGGCATGCGATTATTGCATCCAGCTGCTGCTGATCACAGCGTGAGTATAAGTAGGCAGCAGATGCAGCGCATATTCAGGTTTTCGCTGAGGAGCCGAGCCGGTGACCCGGCCGCTCAGTGGTGGTACAGGAGCTGTGGCAACGGGACGTGATGTCTCCGTTCCATGCGAGATCCCAATTCGTCGGTCATCCGACGTGACGTCGGGAGTGAAAGGCTGAACTAACTGAAAAGGGAACTAACGCTATACGGCACAATGGCTGTAGTGCATTTCAGTAAGTCTCTATTCACTGCTCAGCCAAACTTCATATCTGCAACATTTCTGATAAAAACACAAAGGCTAAGCCACAAATCATGTGTAGAAATGGTCCCGATGATGCTAAAGTCGTGTGGTAACAGGGTAGGGAAGGTAAATATTTTGGCAAATTGCAATTATTATATGTGGTATTATCATCTAATAGACACAAATGGTGTGCTTTAGTTATGGAATGTGCCATTTATTGCATTGACCTTTTTATAAAGCAGTTTGTCACATATTGTTATGGACTGTATATAACTGGATGTGTGTGCATTGTGTGCAGTGGCATGTGTCAGGCTGTTGAAGATATTCTGTCCAAAAGTGTTCAGAAGCACAGTCTGACTATGTCCCAATTTATCACACTGCTCATGTTATTCACTCAGAGATATAACAGTATAACAGAGCTGCCAAGCTGTCCATCTAACTGTCAGGACGGTCAATAAGCCCGAAATGTGCCACTGGTGCTCGACTGCCACTAAAAAACACATTCTTTAGTGCTCCTAGAAAACTGACATATTTATACACTAGGGGTCTTTTTTTTTTTTACATTTTTGAAAAAGTCTCTTATGCTTTCCATTTATTTGATTAAAAATACAATAAAATCAGCAATATTGTGAAATATTATTACAATTTAAAGTAAGTGTTTTCTATTTGAATATGTTTTAAAATGTCATTTATTTCTAATACAATGCTGAATTTTCAGCAGCATTACTCCAGTCTTCAGTGTCAAACGATCCTTGACCAAAAGTGTCAGTAACGACATTTCAAATGTTACAAACGCTCTATTCATCAAAGAATCCTGAAAAAAAAAAAATAGTTCAGTTTCTACAAAAACATTAAGTACCAAAAACTGTTTTCAGCATGGATAATAATCATAAATGTTTCTTGAGCAGCAAATCATGTAACTGAAGACTGGAATAATGATACTGAAAATGCAGCTTTGCATCACAGGAATAAATTACATTTTTTAAATACAGTGGGTACGGAAAGTATTCAGACCCCCTATAAATCTGCAAAAATGTCAACGATTCTGTGTTTTTCTGTCAATATGGGGTGCTGTGTGTACATTAATGAGGAAAAAAAATTAACTTAAATGATTTTAGCAAATGGCTGCAATATAACAAAGAGTGAAAAATTGAAGGGGGTCTGAATACTTTCCGTACCCACTGTATATTCAAATAGAAAAGAGTTCATTTAAGCTGTAATAATATTTCACAAAATTGCTGTTTTTACTGTATTTTTATCAAATAAATGCAGCTGCCTTAAGGATAAAAAACAAAAAAAACAAAAAATCTGCTGATGGAATGACAATTTTGTCAAAATGTCAGATAAAACCTCTGTTTTCCAAAGCAGCTAATTTGGATAAACGATTGTTCTATTGAATGTATTTTCACGCAACCAAAATGCACTTTTCTTTTATAGACAGCACGAGAGTCTATTGATTTGCTCTGAAGAAAAAGATGAACATGGCACTGAAGATCCTGCAATGCAATTCTTTTGCTGGCCCTTCCCATCGTGCACCATTGAAAGCGATTCGACTGAATGGCAAACCGTGAAGCAGAACGCTGCCACTTCATACGTGACCTCCAGGTGTGTTTCTCTCTCTGTCTTTGTCATTCCAGTCGAATGCCCCTGACAACACACCAGATTCAGTCTGTTGATGGATGGATTCGTCCCTACTGCTAATGGAAACTCTCATTCGGTTCACTGAAATAAATATGTAATATTGCAAGGTTGATTTATTTCTTTATAGGTGTAATCAGCGTATAACTGCACATGCATATGCTAGTCAGACAGACAGCCCGTGCTTTTGATGTATGGCTATTAGAGTGGAAGTTACACAGACAAATGACATCCTCTAGTGTCCTCACCTCTTCAGATAGCAATATGAATACAAAGAAGGCTATTGAAGTCACGTCTCTCTCTGTCTCTGTATTTGTCTTCTTCTCTCAGTCCAACTTTCTCTTTTGTTTGGTGATCAAAAGACTGCAAGCTTCAATCTCAAGTTAATTGTTCCTTGCAAATGCCTTTTTTATTTTCTTTATCGCAGTATTTACTGCCATCTGCGATGGAAAACACTTGGTAACACTTGGTAAAACAAGTTTTTGGATTGGAAACACTTGGTAAAACAAATGAAACAGGGTTGTTTGAGTTATCTGAACACATTGACGTTCTTAAGAAATATTAAGGCTGAAACATACAGTAGTCTAGATATGCAAACAGTTAGATCAATGTGTTTTAATTTTGATCATTTTGATTAAGACTTATATCTTACATAATTAAATGAGAATTACATTCTTAAGTAAATGTATCTTCATTTAAGAATCATACTTAAAGGAATAGGTCACCAAAAAATGTAAATGTACTCCCCCTCAGCCCATCCAAGATTTAGATAAGTGTGTTTGTTTATTGGAACAGATTTGGAGAAATTTAAGCATTACAACACTTGCTCTCCAATCATGGATCCTCTGCAGTGAATGGGTGCCGTCAGAATCAGAGTCCAAACATCACAATAATCCACAAGTAATCCACACCACTCCAGTCCATCAATTAACGTCTAGTGAAGTGAAAGCATGTTTGTAATAAACAAAGTCTCTATCCTCTATCCATAATTTTGCTTTCTACAGTGAAGAAGTCGTCTCGTTTGAATAAATATGCACAGATTAAGCACAGTTTACAAGCAAAAACAGTTCTAAACAAATATGTTGGTGGATTTTGATGTGAGAGGACAACAAGAGATGGACGTCTTTACTGGAGGAAGTGTTATTATGGATTACGAATTTGTATTTTGGCCAGAAGCAATGGTTTATCAGCTGTTTGGACACTCATTCTGACGGCACCCATTCACATAATTTCAGATGACATAGAAAACAGTCCTATCACAATACTAAAAAGTATATACAGTGTGTCTTAGCAATGATCAAGAGAAATGGGAGGCACCTGAGCTAAATTTCAAGTGTTGTTGCAAAGGGTCTGAATACTTATGTAAATGTGATATTTCCGTTTTTTCTTTTTAATAATTTTAAAGACATTTCTACAATTCTGTTTTCACTTTGTCATTATGAGGTACGGACATAACAAAACTGAAAAGTGAAGAGGGTCTGAATACTTTCTGAACGCACTGTATGTGTATATATATATATACCTAAC